TAAAGGTGTGCACTGCCATGTCTGGCATTTACAATAATGTTTTCTTCTAAGGGAACTGAGAACAAAAGGTTATCCTGGGCTAACAGATTAAGAAGTGACCGATTCTGTGTAACACACACCAAAAGACCACAGAGGTTAAGAAATGTTAACCAAATGTAGTGATTTTTTTTTTAATTTTAAAAAACTGTTTAAGTGGTTTTTTTGTTTTGTTTTACTTAAGCACAGGATGCTTCCACCATCAGTTCCCAGGAATAGTACTATTCCTTTAGTACCACGAAGAGTCACTATGCCGCTGCGTAGATGACTGCACCACCAGCTCCCAGGGGACAAGAAATAAAGCACCACCCATACCCTAACCTGATCCCACAGCCCAGGCTCTTCCTCCACGCCACACCAAGTTTTAAAGCCCCCACATGAGGTTCTTTATTCTAAGACAATCTGACAACACTGTTAACTAAGAAGAGGAAAACAACATTCAAAAACCAAATCAGCAATTTATCTCCTCTCCCGCTTTGCAGCAAAATGATTATCAAAGCAAGCTCTAAGCTTAGAAGTTCCAAAAAGTTCCACTCCTTTCCACGAGCCAATAAACACAACCAGAAAAGCATCTGAGCATGGTCATTAATATTAATCTACTGCAGTTTCAAAACAGTTTGCTTCCCAAGTGCATTTTGCCAGGCTATGACGTATTGGTGTGAAATTACATCATACAAACCATTAGAGAGACCACAGAGCACACCATATAGTACAAATGGTAAAGAATTTTAATCAAATGTTTTATATTTCACTTTCTAGAGTAGTCAAACAGCAACAAAGCAGAATGTGGCTGTAAGGGGCATGGCAGGGGGAGAGGGGAACTCATTGGGTACAGAGCTTCAGTTTTGCCATGAAGGAGTTATATAGGTTGATTGTACAACAATGTGAATATACCCAACACCAGCAAACTGTACATTTTAAAATGTTTAAGATGGCAAATATTGTCAAGAGCATTATCATAACTAAAACAAAACCTGAAAAAGGAACCAGTGAGTTTTTACTGTGATGAAACCATGTTGATTTTAAAAATCAAAACACATCACTAATTAACAAGTTGATATTTACAGCTTGGTGAATAGATGGCCGTTATTTTATGCTGAAGTCTGAAGTTTTCCTTGGTGAAATAAACAGAACTTTAACATAGAGAATAAGTGTATGAAATTTCCTAGTTAATAGGGAATCAGCTATCATGAAACTATCTGGTGAGAATGTTAGAGCATAAAATGTCGCAGCTGTGTACCTACAATGGACAGACACGGCTCCTCGCATCAGAAAACTGTATGCAGAAAATTACATCAACAGTCTAAATTTACCATTGAAAACAATGTATTTTATTTAAGTAATTAAAAGTAAAAAAAAAAAAGCAATTTGCGACTAATCTTCACACCTCGTCTGGAGAGCAGCTCCGCTGGCCGTCCACGGAGTCTGCCCCACTCAGGGCACTTCCGCAGAGCCGCTTTCCTAGGTCACTCCACTTCTAGAAATCTGTTTTTTCTGCTATTTCAAATCACCAGAGACACAACATATGAGACCCTGCTCAAGTTAGAAGAATAACTCTAACCACAATTACATATGAAAGTGAGGACATTTTCTCTACAAAACTATACAGATTACCATTATACACACAATTCTTTTACACTGGAGACCCATGAGGCAGCACTGAGTCAACAGAGGCATTGAAATTAGCAATGGAACAAGGCTCACTTGGAACAGCAGCGCATTCCCATCTCCTCGCCTATCACCACACTCCCCTGGGATTTATAGTCGTGTATTAGCTAAATCCTAGAAAGTTGATTAAAAAAAAAAATGAAACAGTCGAAAAGATAAGAAACACTCCCTAAAATCTATCCCAAAACACGCGTGGGAGACGTGGAAACACCAAACTTTGTTACTAATCACAAGACCCTTTAAACTCACAGTCTTCACAATATCTGCGCTGAATTCTCTGCGGCTGGGCTTGCCCACTAAAAGTCAAACAGTTGGAAACAAGAGCAAAAGGCTTATTTCTAAAAAGTATTGTTTTAGAAAAGTGGTACTGTTTATTTTTAAAAACAACTTTCTTTGCTAAAGAAATCACACTGCTGTGGTCATCAGAATAGGTTAAAGCACTTTGCCCTCATTTTTAACCAAGACAAACTATTATCGTTCTGTAATTGTTCAGAACTTATACCACCATCACAGCAAAAATGTATAGGATATTTCTAATAAACCTAAATTTGATCATGAACAAAATTTATTTAAAGTATTTTTAAGTACTCAAGAATATTAAAGAATGGGGGATACATAGGTCAGAAGGAAGTATGTCCTCTGACACTCTCTAAATGGAATATAATTCTCAGGTTAAGACCACAGGAATGGTCTGCAGTAAAGAAAATTGGGTCAGCATAGAGCAATTTCTACAAAATTTAGCAAAAAAAAAAAAAAAAAAAAAAAAAGCCAAAAATATTGTGAGCCAAATAAAAGGATCCTTTGGGATCAGGGCTTTCTGTCTGCCCCAGTACTTTAATCTCCAACTCCCTTAGAGACAGAAACCCCCACATGCTGACTCACAGCAATACTGAAATACAATGCCAAAGAAAACCAAACACAATCCTTTTAAGTCACAGGTCTCTTTGGTTAAAAAAAAAAAAAAAAAAAAAAAATCGACCACCATGTAACTTTCCACCTGTGTGCAGAGAAAAGTGAGACAGCATTGCCTTGGGTAGGGACCCCCGTTTTAGGTCCTTTGAAGGGATAGACCACAGAGGCTCTGCTCACACATGCAATTTAGTAGACGGCAACAGCTTTTTGCTACATAGCTGGAACCATCTTTCCTGTAACTCAGATCATTTGTGAACATTTTAAGTCAACTCACAGCAACTATGCTGTATGTTCGTTCTTTAGATACGAAAACTAAGCTATTAGGAAAATTAAGCAGAACACCTTACTTCTTGTAAGAACGTACCAGTTCCTAATCCCACGACCCAAGGAACATGTTTTTGAGACAGGCTCTCTGTCTTTTGCCCAAGCTGGTCTCAATTCCTGAGCTTCTGATCATTGTGCCTCTGCTGGGAACAGCTATGTGCCACCCAAATCCACTGTGAATTTTAACAGCTTATTCTAGATGTTTCCTCGTAAAGTAAAACTGGAAATAACCTAGTTAATGCTATTTACAATTCAAGAAAACAAAATTCAACACAACTTAATATATACATTAAAAAACTCCAGAAAATATTGTCAGGTCTAAGTCATTTCCCATCTACCCAAAGGGAAGCCAAGTCTATCTGCAGCAAAATTTAACTATAATAGCGATGGATCCATTGCAGTAGAAAACACTACAAATGAACGCCCAAAACCAAGCTCAGGTGTTTTTACTCGAGAGAAAAGTAACTAGCCATCATAACTTGCCTGAAAAAAAAAAAAAAAAAGAAAACTACTTTCTGACCAATTATTTCTTGGCCTATCCAAAGACCCAGAGAAGAAAAATGTGTGCCTTCTGTAACAGCTGTATTTATAAAGGTCTTTAAGTGTCAGCACCAAATGTTCACATAAATTATTCTAAGCAACTTTAAGGATTTAATATTTCCTAATAAAGTAGGTAAACAAAGGACTGAACAATATTTTCATGCTAAGAACCACTAATGTCTAACAAAATGATTGGCTCATTTCTAAAGCTGCTGTAGTTGTGCTGTGTGGGAACGCAAGCCTTACTGTACAGCTGACGGGACTACTCCCTATCAGGGTCAGGAAGCCTTATTCTGTGATTAGGCAAAATTAAGTAACAAGGTGAAAGGAGTTTTAAAAGTAGGTTAAGTAAAACAATCTGTTATTAGAGGAAAAACAACTAGCCACATAAAGTACCTAAATGAAACACTGAGAGCAAGACTGACAACTACAGTGACAGTCGGAGTCCATGTCACCCTTTATTACATTAGATCACTGCAGTATTCTGATCAACATTCACAAGTTTTCTTATTTCTCCCTCAGACTACAGCAAGTTCTTTCCTGTTTATAACAGAATTCAACTCTGCAAATGGTTTAAGTCAACTTTTTGCACCTTGAATTTACAAACCACTGAGTGTTAAAATTACCTGAAAACCATTTAATTTTTAATTTTATTGAAAGCTGTACTTCAAACCCAAACCTTCAAAACAGAAAAGCTGTTTCAAACAAATTTGTACAAATACCATGATACCAGTGTTTTAAAGATAACCTACAGACAATTATAAAAAGGCAACTATTATACAAAAGAATTCTATGGCAAATCTTCTTTATAAAATCTTTTATAAATAAACTTGCTTCATGATAGAAGATAAAAATTAAATCTACCCTAAAAATACCTAATTGCTCAGAAGACAGGTTGAGTGCTTTTGAAATCATGCTGCTTCTTTGAAAAATGAAATTTTAACTGGGCAACAAATACCACATCATACCCACTCACTCAAGCCTTCTCATCTCTGGGTATGGAAACCTTACAGGTTTTATTTTGGTAGCCACCTTAGTAAACATAAAGCACTAGCTGCTTTCACACTGGAGCTTGTACAGTGCACTAAGTGTAGAAAACAGCAATAGTGCCAAATTCACTTAGTAGGTCTTTAAGGGACTTGGTGTCACCAACTGGCAAAAAAACAACATTATAGTTTTCTATTCAGATTTTATTTGAAATCTAATTCAAATTGTCAAAGCTACAAAAGAGGGGAAGACATCTGTATTATGTGTCTAAGTCACAACATCCTAAAACAAAATACTACTACTGCCAGCAGATCCATTATACACATTTCTGATGAAATTCATTAGCACAATAAAAATTTCATCTTGAGAAACAGCCACAACAAAAGTAATTTATACAATATAAAACAATGACAGGTCTACAGATGCAGTTACTCATGAGTTTACACATGCATTCACAAACAAACAAACAAACCCAGGAATGCTCTTTCATTAGAATTTTGTTTTTGTGTGTGTGGTTTTTTTTTATTAAAAAAAAAAAAAAAAAACAAACAAAAAACAAACAGACCATTCAGGCACAAAACAAACTTGCATTTCCAATAAGTGACAGCATCTTAAAAATATATGTCAGTGTTTGTTTTTCTTTGACTTTTTATGAGACCTGTGTGGAGACCGGGACTGGGATCTGGATTTCTTTCCTGATTTCTTAGGCGACCTAGACCGAGACCGCCTAGACCTTTTAGGCGTCCTTGAACCAGATGGTGACCTGCAGAAACAAATAAATAAGAACAATATCTGAGTACTTGCCTTTCAAAACTGCTTACATTCTTATATGGCTTAAGATAAGTTTCAAATGGGCATATAAGCCACTAATAAAAGAGCAAACTCAAATTTATTCTGACTGTATACACACACAGATTTATTTTGCACTTACCATTCATGTGTGATCAGTCGACAAATCACACATGATATAAAGTCAGATTTCTGAACTTTACTACCGCTCTACTGAGAGTGTGTATCTTTAATAAGCTCCCCAAGAAACCAATACCCCCAAAATTTGAACCTGTAATCCACAAGATAAAATTCAAGGTGGGAACTAAGACATTCACACACTTTAAAAGCACAGAAGCTGTGCATTCTATGATTTTGTGGGGGGGGGGGGGGATTTTCTTACTCAAGGTCATTTGAAACAACATAATTTGTTGTTTTTGAGACAGGGTCTCCCAGGTAGTGAGTGGGCTTAATCACACCTGCCACCACATCTCACCCCAGTAATTTTGCTAAGTTTTGTTCATGAAGATTTCCCAAATAAAAAAATACATACACACACATACATATGAGTATGTGTAGCCTTGAAGAGGAGAAAGTAATCTATTACATAAAGACTACACAGAAAATGGTTACAATAATGAAATATTAGCATATATATTCAGGTGCAGCTCAAGAAAATTTCCCTCTGTAATACCAATATATTTATGAACTACTTTTGTGGAATTAAAAGGCTTAAATAAAAGTATGAAAGTGTGTATTGAAGAAATGATCTACATAGTATTCTATTTCCTTACCCACATACTTGCTTCTGTGGGGAAGAGGTATTCCTTCTCTTCAGTTCTTACAAAATCTAAGGCTATTTATTACCCAGAAACAAAGATCAGAATGAAAAAAAGTAACACCCCATCCCCAACAGTGGATAGCCTTTAACTGCTAGAATTCTTCTATACCTGAACCATGACAAAACTGGAATAGGAACAAAAGAGATAATCCAAAATAATTAATAATTTTTCTGGTTTTTTGAAATCTTAACAAAAGGGGTGGGGGCATCACATCCTCTCCAAAGCTGTAGAACACTGGTGACTGACCTGTAGCTAAGGGTGAGTTGCACTTACCTTTTAGCTTTCTTGCTAGCATCTCTAGGAGAATCTTTGTGAGATGACCTGGACCGTGAGCTTTCTTTATGAGATCTTTCTGAGCGTTCTGACCGTTCTGATTTTGGAGATGGGGACTTCACTCGCCTACCACTGCTACTCCGAGATGGGCTGGGAGAAGTACTATGCCGTCTTTTCCTACAAAACAAAGCACATAAACTCTATAAGTGACAAAAAATACTTAAGTATTCATTTTCGATTTTTACTGACTAGCTACAAATGCTTCCCAGCTTACAATAACTTAACTCTCACTATTCATACTAATACTATTTTCCAACAACAGTCAATGTCCTTTATTTCATAAACAAGTAAGTTTATGGGCAAAAGACAGTTTGCACAAAAAAACAAATGAATTAGATTTTTTTTTTTCTGTAAAAAAGAGATTACTAGGAAGATGAAGAAAGTCTGACATTTTGGACTGGATAACAATGAAGATTTTTTCTTTTCAGTGCTAACTTCTTAATGTGGTACTTTTACGGAACTTAGATGACCACTTAACTGGCTGCAGGTGAAGTAGAAGGGAAGAACTAAGAAGAGAAGTAGAAGTGTTTTAATAGGTGGAGCAATTGGGTGAAAGATACATGGGGATTATTTGACCTATTCTTATAACTTCTATGAAACCGAAATTACATCAAAATAATAAGACAAAAAAGGTTGTATTTCTTTGTTAACCAATCTGTACAATTTTGCTTTTTACAAGTATAGACAGAGTGATTATGACAGGTTTCTCATTTGCAACCATTGGTTTTTACAATGTGGAAAACTTTGATCCTATTTACTGAAGCAGCTGCTTCGCTCACTAGACATTTAAGAACTAGAGAAGTAGAACATGGTCCAGGGTGGTGGTTCAGCAAGTAAGAACTCTTAACCTGAGCTTGACCCTCTAGAACCTACATGGCAGGAGAGAACCAACTCCCACAGCTCTCTTCTGACCTCCACAAGACAATGATGGCATATATGTACCCCAAAGAATAACACACACACTAAACAAATAAAATAAAAAGTAAATAAAAACTCAAAGAGAAAAACTGGAACCAAGAACTTAACATGACAAGCAAGCCACTGTGGCTTCTATATAATCTTCTTTCATGACAAAAAAAGATGCTTACAGTGGAGTCGAGAGGCAAATATCACAAGTTCTTATGTAAGCCGTGGGGTTGATACCCAATAGTGTAATTGAATTCCTACAAGGAATTAAGGCTGAAGATACCATATGAACCAAGTAAAGAGATGATGTCCTAATTAGTTAAGCCAAAAGGCAACTGCCACTCTCTCAGTTAGTACTGCCTCCTACAGGCAGAAGCCAACCAAGTATGTTTACTGTGAAAAGGCACTTCCAATTTGTTGCTACTAATGACAGAAATACTTTAAAACCTAACAGCACTCCAACTCTGAAACAAGGCAGAGTAACTACGACACGCCATACCTTTCTTTTCTTGTTGGAGTACATTCATCTTTCTCCTTCTTGTCTTTGGATCGGGATTCCAATTTTTCTTTATCTTTTTTGTCTCTTTCTCGTTCTCTTTCTAACTCTTTCTCCTTTTCCTGTTTTGTTTTTTAAAAGAAAATAATTGTTTTTAAAAAATGTCAGTCTATCCTATGTGTCTAATCCCAGTTTCTCTAAATAATAATTAAGGTATGATTATCATTTTCATTTTCAGAAAATATCTAGCCATTTCTCATATACCACATCATCGTCATCATCATCATCGTCGTCCTTGTTCAGCAGCAAAATATTTCCTGAGTGCTCATCACAGCCCAGACAACATAGTGACAATTTTCCAAACACTAAGTCATTCTGTGATCCTTTACCACACTATCACTCTCAATCTAGATATGGAAAACCTGACTCAGAAAGTTTAAGCACAATGAGCATGGTCACACCAGAAAGTCAGAAACTCAGTCTAAGAGTTCCTATCCCTTCACATCCCTACCACATCAAAATAAGGGAAGGAGGTAAAGAGGGAGGGAGAGAGAGCAGGAGGGAGGGGGAGAGAGGAGGAGGGAGGAAGAGAGACGGGGAGGGTAACAAAGGAAGAAATGAATCAGGAAGAGCTAGCAAGCAACATAACTGACCTTCCCATCACAGATTTCAAGAACCTAGTTATAAAAGCAACTCTGCCTGTTTACAGCAGGTTCACTTAATAAAACATTCTTGCCAAAGACTTTATTATAAGTAATGATAAAAGGAAATGTAATCCTTACTTATAACCTGATTATATAATTATATAAACCAGAAAAATAACTGTTCATTCCTAGTTGTCCTAACTGCCATTTCTCAATAAAATTCTAATTTCTATTAATAGCAGAACAGTCAAAGTAGTGGCTAAAGATACTGAACCAACTTAGTTCTTTAAGAGCAGAAATAGAATTTATAATTGGCATACATCAAAAATGTTATCTAACTGCTGCTTCCTATTTTTAAAAAGAAATTCTTATAACTAAACACTGGCAAATTCTTTTACAGAGTCAGACCAAAACTACTTTGTCTTGTGGGTTATAAACAATCCTTTCAATGGCGCAACTGCACTATTGCAACAAGAGAACCACACAGACAATACCTAGGTCAAGATGCATAGCTGTGTTCTAGTGAACTTTATATACAAACTGACAGAGATCATAGTTAACTGACCTTCAGCATATGCCTTCTAAAACCACAATCTTGTCTCCAAGTAACACTCATGGGATACAGAAGACTAAACTAGCAATTGACATATCTTTTAATTTGTAGTCACTGAGATTCAGGGAGCATTTCAACATGTCATCTTCAGTGCAGACTAATAACCAGTTACCATCATCAAAGGGACTCAAAAGGGTATATATAGACAACTAATACCATTCTAAAAATAATCTCATTTATCTTTTCCCCAAGTACATCACAGAATATAAATCCAAGGAGATCAACTTCTCTTAATGATACTCAGTATACACTTACCTGAATGAAGATAAAATTATTTCTTGATTGACATTTTATAGAAACTATACTACAATTAGTCTATTTTAAACATTCTGATTTAAAACTACAGAGCAACAATAACAGCAATCCTACCTATGACCCATCAGAGAAAACTCCAGTGGCACACAGCAGCGATGGCATAGGATTCCACAGTCAGCACAGCTGTCCAGTCACTTTACTAGGCAGCTCCCTCCCACCATTTCTGTACCTATAAGCTCCTAGGGATGCCTTTTTCTTGTTTGATACTGTTACTATCACTGTAATGATGGCCAAGGTACAGGACAAAATAGCAATTACAAGGGAAGTTCTGGGCATTTCCATAGTTACCACATGGGGTCCTAGTTCTAGTGCTCTGCACATCCCTAACTCATTGAACCTAAAAAGCCCAGCACTCCCTGATGCCATAAGTATTCTACCCCTTACTACACCTTCCCAAAAGCAGGACTTTCCAGCCCTCATCTTCACCTTCATTAGTGTTACTTCCTAGGACCCCTGGTTCTTACTAGCATCAATGCAACGTCTTCCCATAGCATTTTCCAGTTAAGAAAACATATTCTTAACAAGATTAGCTAGTCCATGGGTAGTGCCCAGAATAAAATATTTCTAACCATCATTCAATATTTATACATTAAAGACTACTGTTTGCAATGTACTTCCCTTTAGTATGCTATGACCCTAATAGTCTACAGATAGGTAGGTAACTGTGGAAACGCTATTACTGAATAAACATATTCCTTACTCGTTGCAACAATTTATCTCTGTAGTGCTCGACTTGTTCCTGGAAGCTCTGGCCTGGTTTTTTAGGTCTCTTTCCAGATTCCAATTCATCTTGAAACTTCATAACTTTGAGCTGAAAAATAAGACATTTTGTATAAGAATTTTCTATAACACTTTCTCAAGCACTGTTTTTCTCCTACAGCAAAGCAGTGACTGGTTAGGACATGATCAAAATATAACCACAACAGAAGGTCTGTTAAACCCTCTACACAAAATTCAAGCCATCAAACACAAACACAATATTCTCAACTTGGAGAAGATTAAACCATAGACTGTTTTACATCCTTAAGAACATACTTGTTAACCTAACAGTACCAGTGAATTTGATATCTAGTTCTCCAAATCAGAAGGAAAAAGTGAGTATAGGCAAGCACACTTGGAGCAAGATTTAAGAGTCAGCAGGACATAAACAGAAAACAGGTTAAAAGCAACAAGAAAAACAATGTTGGTGTTCTAGTTACAGCTCCTTAGAACAACATACACAGTTGCATGGTATGAAGGCTCCACTCTATTTACAGCAGTGTAACCACGGCCCATCAAAACACAGACTTAAACCATATTCACATTGTACCTTTTAAGAAGAGTAAATACTGATTTAAAAAAGATCAGAATTTCTTGCTTCATTTCTTAAAATGTATCCCTTAGAATATCCATGGTCTGTATTCTGTCAATTACATTTTAAATAAACGCTGATTGGCCACTAGTAAGGCAGGAAGTATAGATGGGACAACCAGACAGGAAGTAGAGGTGGGTCAAGAAGAACAGGAGAATTCTGGGAAGAGGAAAGCCCATTCCTCTGCAGTTGTGAGCCCGCCAAAGAAGAAGCAAGATGTGACTGCCTCACTGAAAAAGGTACTGAGCCATGTGGCTAGCATAGACAAGAATAATGGGCTAATATAAGTTATAAGAGTTAATAAGAAGCCTGAGCTAGTGGGCTAATCAATTTCATGTAGACCTCTGTGTGATTTCTTTGGGACTTAACGATTGCGGGAACTGGGCAAGACAAAAATTTCAGACAATACCCTAAGCTTATATGATGAATATTTCCTGTAGCATGCTAGTAGACCACTTACATATTCATTCTAACATTTCTGGCTAATTCTATGCAAAAAATCACAGATTCACACACATTTGCAATGGGTAGCAATCTGAAAGCCTACACCCACCATCACAATTCCCTTCAGAAAAACCCAAACATGTAAAATCAGTAACAGAAAAAGAAAATATAAGAAAAAGTGAGACTAATTTCACATTTTATTCTGGAGATTTAAATATTTTGACAACCCTTACTCCCGGAGACAATGTCTTACAATCTATTCCAGGCTGGTCTCAAACTGGTGACCCTGACCTTCCCAGTGCTGATTATAGATAGGGGTGCTGTGATTATAGGTATGCATCACCTTGCCTGAGTAAAACTTTTGCAATTCTGTAAAGACTACTAAAAAAGATAAACGTGGGCTAGCGAGATGGCTCAGTGGGTAAAGGTGCCTGCTGCCACATCTGATGACCTGCTCCATCCCAGGGACCCACATGCTGGAAAGAGAGATCCACAGTTGTTTTGACTTCCATTTGACTGATGTGACACATAAAATAATAAATGTAATTTTAAAACTTTTTCAAGAGAATAAACTCATGATAAAACTTAAAGTAAAGACACTAGGGTTGGAACGATGGCTTGCTGAGAAGATCAAGTGTCATGTGAGCCTGACCACCTGAGTTCAACCCCCAGCAGCCATGTTTACAGATGTGACAGAGTCACTGGAAAGTCTGCAGGTCACTTATCCTAGAGCACACAGAATGGCAGAAATAGTAAGACCTGCCTCAACAAGGAATAAGAGAACAGACTCCTGAAATTGTCCTGACTTCCACACAATGCACCTGCTCTCTCCTCCCACCACATCCCCTAGACAGACAGGCATACACCCACACACACATGCATGCACATGCGCGCGCGCATGCGCGCACACACACACACATACACACACACTACAAAATTACTAAAATAAAAACTGTGAAAGCATCCAGGAGCTTAAATGTCCATGAAAATTTAAAAGGTAACAGTAATCTCCCTTTCAACTAAGGGCAGGAAAGTGATGAGTGAACAGCACACGGACACCCCACACCTGTTCAACCCTGTCTACGTAAGAAATAAAGAGAGCGTCCTAGCAGGCTAATATCTCACTCTACTCTATGTGTAGATATGCATTTGAACGGACTATATACTTAGTAAGGCATTTAGGAAATGAAGCCTGTGCATTGGAAAAAGGTTCTAATCCTCTCCCTGTCCCACAAGTTAAAGAAGTATTGTCACAATATCTGAATTCATGACTGTATCTTCTAAATTCTTTGATTTTTGTCCTTTTTCTACCTAGTTCACTTCCATAGCAGTGTTAAATAAACCAGAGACTAAGATTCTCTCCATCTTTTCCTTCAAACAAATCTTAAAATTAGTCTTTACACTTTTCATCTCTTAATGAATTATACATTTTAAAAGACGTCAGACACTAAATTGAGAGAAAAAGCAGGATGATGCAAATGCCTGAATTCACCACTGTATGACTCCTCCTCTAACCAAATTCTGTTGCATAGAATGTAATGTTGGTAACTGGCTTAAAAACTAAGTTAAACAATAAACTGAATTTTTTTGTTTTGAATAACTCAGTTCTTATTCCTTAGAGTAGCCAGCACCCTTGGTTTCTTTTTTTTGTTGTTGTTGTTTTGTTTTTGTTTTTCTTAGAGTCTCTTACTGAAACCCGGAGCTCAACAATCAGAACAAGCTGGGTGGCCAGAAAATTCTGCAACTTCTGCCTTATCCTCTCTGGTGATGCAACATCACATGTACAATACCAAGCCCAGATATTTACATGTGTTCTTGGGATCTAACTCAGGTCTTCAAATTTGCATGGTGAGCTCTATAGAGACCGCACACTGTCTTCCAGCCTATTTTATTTTGAGACAGAGTCTCACTATGCAGCCAAGCTAGAATCAAACTTGTAATCTCTGATCTCTGCCTCTTGAGCGCAAGGATCATAGGCATCAGCCACCACATATGACTAAAATTATTTTTTGAAATCATTATAAAATCCCACCTTAAGAGTTCCTGACACTAGGACCTAACTAGGCCCAAACACAAGTTAAGATACCCAAATGCAGATGCTGCCTTGAGACAACAACCAGGCTCACATTCTCACTTCAACATGTTGTCTTTTGTTAGGGACAAGCAGAAAAGGGTCCCCATCACCAAAGATTTTTCTTGGTCTTTGGCTCCCAGCATTCTACTCCCCAACCTGTTGGCAGAACCTGAGAAAGCAAGCAGCACAGGAAAAATAGTACTAGCCTATCTTGTCAGCACAATACATGGTTATAGGTTTTCACGTGTTTTTGTAGAGAATATGAGTATTGTAAAGCCACACATCTATTGTTTTGGTTTTTTTTTTAAATTAATCACTGGTTTAAGGTTTAGCTGTCAGGCATTTTTATAAAGACACCACATTTGAGGAAAGAAGAAAAACTGTAGTATAAAAATACAGTATATAGTAAAACTACCTAGAGAAACTAATTTAGAATTGTATTCTTTACTTAAACAGTTCTCTAATAAAAGCACTGGATTTTAAGACCCAAAAACTGATACTCAAAGGGACAGGGAAGCAAGGTAAGAAAGCATGGAAACAAAGTTTGTGAGACTTGAGTTTTGATTAGTCTGCTACCTGCTGTGAAACCGCTCCATGACTTAAATGTCCCAGAGTAACAACAGAGAAGAATCTAGGTACTATCAAGATGAAGACCTACCTGCCTTTTAAACCTAGTATTTGGCTTATTTTCCAAATTCTGAGATAGGTAAGAATTATGAGAGCTGGGGAGATAATGAGTGAAATTTTAACAAAGGGATAGGGAGCAGACTATAAAAGATCACATACAGTGCACACACACAATATACACCACATATATACAGAATTTGAAAATGGTAATGCTCATGAAACCCAGCTAACAAAGATACATTATATGGTTTTCTTCTCTTTATATTAATAAAGAAACAGAACATTCTAAAAGAAGAATTAGGCAGTCCGTATTGGCATTTTTAAATATTTGTGTCAGTGCAGACAAGCCATGGAAATTCATGTGGAGGTCTGATTAGGATCTGTCCCTCCACCATGTATGTCATAACCATCAAACCCAGGTCATCAGCTTGGTGGCAAACACCTATTCTCACTGAGTCATCCCTTCTCCCCCAAGCCCTATACTGACATTGTAACTCCAATTATCAAGAAAATGTATTTTTATTGAATGCAGTCTTTATTTTTACACCCTACTACCCCAGTCCTGAGGACTGAACGACCAGTCTTTTACATGCTAAAACAACTACCCTATCAGAGAACCACATCTCCCCCCCCCCCGCCCCCCAGCCAGATACTCAGTGTTGCTTTCTTTATAGTTTGAAACAGTCTGCCCAGGCTGTTCTTGAGCTCTCTAGGTAGCCCAGGTACATCTCTCCTTATCCCCTTCCTGACCCAGGCTCCCAAGAGTCTGAGGTTACAAACATGCACCACCATGTGTAGCTCATTTTTACTCTTAGTAGCTGTGCCAAATTAGGAAGAGCTGCTCAAGAAGACAGAGGGAGTTATACGTTACAAGAGTTTCACAGGAAGAAAAAGGTCCAATGGTGAGTGTGTTCACCTCTACACAACACCCCATTCCTCTAAAATTGTTAAGAGAACAAAGGAATATTCTATGGAGAAATAAATTACTAACTAAAAGCTTATCTCTACATACTAACTGGAATCATGCTGATTCTACACAGGGTTAAAACAAAAGGTTCTCTTTGGTTTGGTGACACTAGGGAGAGGTAGTGGGAAAGAATACGCCTCCAGTGATTATGTAGAAAAGTAGGAAGGAGATCATCCAAATACAGCATGTCTCATAAGAACTAAGATGCTGGCACATCGCAGGCATTCCACATTACTATTAAGTGGGGACTATGGATTGAGGACTCACATATTCTTTTCAAGTTCTAGACTAACTGGCCATTTTGCTGGGACAGTTTACCACCCTGAGCACTCAATAATGCTTTTCTCCTCATGAGGTCCTGTCCCTCCCTGAGGATCTATAACAGTTAAAGGTTCTCATGTGAAGGAGAGACTTCCCTGTAAATAAGCTCTTACCACTCAAGATCCCAAAGCAAACCTAATGAAAATTCATTGGGAGACACGCACATTCCAAGCCCTGACAGACAGACAGACACACAGACAGACAGACAAACAGACAGACACACAGACACACACACACACACACACTCACCAGTCATGAAAGTGTAAGATTGATTGGAAACAAGAAGATGCTCAATGTAAGTGTGGGGGGTGGAGGGGACAAAAGAGGATAATGGGAGTTGAATATGATCAAAATACATTAAATCAATGCATGAGAATGTCATAAAACTCATTATATAGAGTTAATAATATGCTAATAGAAACCATTTATTTTAAACTTCCCCAAATGCTTCTCTCCAACAAGTCCAAGTAGCCTGAGATACAAAACAAACAGCATTGTAAAAAAGGAGTAAGAGAGGAGGGCACAGTTTGCCTGAGATAGTTTGGGTTTTTTTTCTTCTTAATGTTAAGACTCAGGCAATGTATACACTATACCCTATCATAAAACCTTTCAAAGAAACCACTATATTAATAAAATGTAAACCTAAATTCAATGTGTCAGAAAATATTTTATTTTTACCTAGTTATATATGGTATGCATTCAAAAATCAAATGGTTTTTCCTATTCCTTGGAATCCATTTCCCAGAGGCTCTCCTGTATGCCATGCATTCGAACAGAGAACAAAATACACACATACACACATCCAAATAAAATCATAGAGATAAGTGGGACAAGAAACAAGGCTATCATTGAGAAAAAGGGATACTTGAACTAAGAAGCAATGTTAACTCGTTTCCAAGCATAAAGAATGCTGTGCCAAGAGGAAGCTGACTTCATGTGGAACGTTAAAAACCACTAAAGTAGTTTTCATTTGAATGCAATACAAACCTCAATTTCACGAAGCTTAGCTCGTTTTTCTTCACTCATTTCTGAGTATTTAGAGAACTTAGACTCAGTCATTTCTTCTCTGACAGGGTTAGAATACAAATGATGCTCTTCTGATTTGGAGCTCTGAGTGTCTTCTTCATCTTCACTTTCTTCTTCTTGACTTTGGAAACAGAATACACTGCATGTCACAGCAGGGAAACAAAATACTGTATTTTACAGTTTGGGTATTTGTTTCTCATTGTCCTGGACCTTAAATGATACTGCAGAACTAAAACATTTTCTGCACGTATTTTAGACAGTTCTGAAAAACGTATCCTTCTACAGAGAAAGTTGAGTTTCAATATAATATAATCATGCTTTTAATAAATTCTGTGGTAATGTTATCAGTGTGCTTTTCATTCTGCAACAGTCATCCAAGGAAATAAAATGAAGAACAAATGGGTGTTGCATACGCCTCAGTTCAGTAAACTCATGATGGCTTGTGCATAAAAAGCCCAATGTTCAGCCCTCCTTCTGTAGAGTATACTCTAGAAAATACATGATTTTGTCACACTCACCATAAAAACACGTAAGGGCCTCAATCCAACACATAAGGACCCCACCTAATTAGCACATTATACTAAAGCACCACATAAAGTTTGAGCATTAAAAACCTTCACCTAAGGTTATAGCTCATCCTGAAAGCTAGCTCTTTATTCAGCTCTTGTTTTATTTATGTTTATAAAGTCTGTACTTTCTTTTATTTTATATTCATTTATTTTCATGTATGAATATTTTGTGTACCGCTGCTGCCCATGGCCATCAGGAGAGGGTTTTAGAACCCCTGGAACTGAGTTAAGAATGGTTGTGAACCTCAATGCAAGTACTAGGAATCAAATCCAGGTCCTCTTCAAAAGTAACAAGTAACAAGTGCTACCTGCTAAACTTTTATGAAATGTGGAATTTCAAAATTCTAAATCTATACCAAATTCATTACAAATGCTACTATTTTTAGCATTTCTTTCCATCTGCTACAAGTACTAATTTTAAACTCCACCTCTACTAAAAATGCAATAGTTTATTATTATATGAAGCAGCCCTCAGCAAAAAGGCATTTCTGATCCAGCCACTAGAGAGTAGTAGTGAGCTGTAAAAAATGTTGAAGGACCAGGAAGCTTTGTGCAAATCAGTGTTCCTCATCTGCACAAGCCGATGCTTATATTAACATGGGAGTTCTAAGAAAAATTAAAAACATGAATCCTACTTCTACTGACCCATGTTTCTAGCAATGATTACTTCAACATCAATACTAAAATAAACTCATACAGTAAAACAAAAATCAATTTTATGCCCCTAATGCTTTCAGAAAATGAACCTAACAATGTATCTGGCATTCTCTGATAAACTTTCTACCCTTCAATGTAAATTGAAGAATTATTTGATCAGTACAGTATATAGTTAGCTAATATTTGAGATGTTGCTAATGACAGAGTCATGGATATAAAAGTCAACAAAACAGTTTCAAAGCAAACTAACCTGAATCATTCACTCTAGTAGTCTTCAGTTCCTGAGACCTATCGCCACTGGTTTGCCACACTTCTACTTTCTAATCATTACCAACTTACTCAGTCACACCAACAGAACTGCCAGTTTTCCCATGCCATCAAACCGTCTACAAACTACTGACTGAGCACACTTCCTTGCAAGCCATCAGTCCCTCTACCAAGTACACACAAATGCACATTCTGTGCTGGGACAACAAAAGGGCTTCCCCGATTTTCTTCTTCCATCTGAGAATAAAAGATTATAGTTTTTACAGAACAAAAAGTTCTTCCCAGAATAATCTTGATAGCAATTTTTCCTATTGCAAAACTCGATTATTCAAAGCAATGAAGCTTCATAAAACTTATCATACAAACTTTACATTCTTACTAACACAATGTTAAAAGCAAAAATACTTCTGATGATTGCAAAAGAGAAAACGATCAAAAAATCATCATTTCTTTATACTCATTAAGCCCACTTATTCTTACCTCTTCTGACATGTTTACATTTAAAATAACAAAATAGTTCTTAGCAATGCACTATCTGAAAGAAAAGGAATATAATCTTCCCACTTAACATTTTAAAAATCACTTTTTTGTGGATCCAAAACAATATTTGATGACAAAAATTTGAAACAAATAAAACAGATGAAATAATAGCTACAAGGCAGAAATGTATAGCCTCAGTTAGAAAACCCATCCATGTGAAACCTAGTGCAAAGACCAGAGACCAAAGCTCTTTATTCACTGGGGAAAAAAATGAAGACGAAAGGTGATTCTCTCACAAGGATTTGAAGGTGAAGTTATCCTCTTCACTATTATTTCAACTATAACTGTCAGTAAGAAAAAGGGGGTGTATATGTGTAGGGAACTGTGTGTGTGTGAAACTTAGATTCTTACTTTTGGTTTTCTTCTTCTTCTGATTCTTCATGCTGGTCAAATAGCTCCCACTTGGAAGTTGTCACAGCTGCAGAGGGAAAGGTAAATTAGCATTCTGCTACAGCACAGTAGAAGCCCAGCTTTAGAGCTGAAAGTTTATATTACAGAAGCTTTTATCTTCATGTACTATACATCTTTTCTCATACCTACACTATCTATTCAAACTCAGAAATGATTAAAAGCACTATCTGTATTTCTATGGTGAATGGCACGACTTATTTTATCACATCAACAAACACTAACAGACACGGGTCCCATTAAGTATAAAGAGAAAGGCAAATGTAAACGGGATCTAAGAACCACTATGGGAGGTCAAAACTCAGTTTCTAAAGCAGATTTCCAAATGGATGCTGCTTCCCATCTACATCTACACTTTCTATAGAAACACCTCGGCCTGAAAGGTTATCATGATTTCTCTAACTGTACTCTCAAAGCTTCCAAATTGCAGGATCTAAGACAATTACTAAAGGAGTAGTAATTCAATGAATTTCATTGAAATTCAATAAAGTCCAGTGAATGCTTATGACAGACCTAAATCATGGTAGCACTGACTCTGAAGGCTGAAAACAAAGGTTTTACATACAAAGAAAATATACACAGGCAAATACAAAGGCACCAATAATTACTGTAAGAACACTCAACTTTCTTCCCCCTCAGCAAGCGCTGGGGAGTCAACCCAGTGCCTTACACATGCCAGGCAAGTACGCTCACTACCAGTGAATACACCACTATCCCAGTACACAACTGCATAAAGCTCAGTATTTGTGATTTACTCACCTTGTGCTTCTAATTCAGATTCATCTACAGCCTCCCATTTTGATGGGGCAACTTTAAATATGGGTTCATTCTTCTTAGAGTCTTCAGTTGCATCCACTATTGAAGAAAAGATTAGCTATATATTAGGGGATGATTCAAACTAATGGGCTTATCAAAAAGCTAATAAAAGTAAGTCCACATGTAGGAAAACACTGACAGCATCAAGGATTATAATTAACACACTTTTTTTGCTTCAACCCAATTTTTAAGCAGTGAATTACTGCATAGGAAATCAGGTAAAACACTTTAAGCATATGGAGCTGAGAGGAAGAAAAATAAATAATACTTAAATCATTTTCTAAAGTAAATATGCCATACTTTATCAACACTTTAATGTAATTTTAGGCAAGAGAACACTGAGCATCTGACATCATGACTATAATCAACACAAAATGTTGCCCATAGCTTTAAGACAACTGAGACAAAAGAGGAAAGCTGCTATTATGATAGAAGAGTGGCACCCTAAAAAAGAAAGATGACTGTAAGAAAGCCCTTTCCTTGCCACAGTGAAACATACTGCTAGATATCTGAGTTTCAAATGTCAGAAAAGTAACTTGACACAGTCAGAAACAAACATTTCTCCAGAACACCATGTGTGAAATTAAACCTCTTAGTTAGTCTTTAAATGTTTGAAATTGGAACTTACAAGGCACTCCATCCAAATCATCATCAAGACTTTTTATAGGGACTCCATCAAGATCGTCAATGGGAGTAGCATCAATGGGAATCCCGTCCACATCTTCCAGAGGCGCACCATCAAGCTCTTCCTCAATGGGAGCACCATCAAGATCATCTGGGACATCCTACAGAAACATGCACTACTGTAATATTTTTTTGACTTGCTTAAGTCTCTCACTATTAGATTAACAAAATCCAATACCAATGTGGCTGGAACCAGACACAATATAAACACACACTTTATTGTCTAGCCAAAGTAGCAATTATCTATACGTTTATTTATCTAATATGTACTAAGTGCTTGTTATTGGTGCCAGGTAGCATGTGATGCAAAGATGAACAAAATCAGGTCTGGTTCTTCTGTCAAAGAACTCAGTAAAGGTTTTTGTTGTTTAGAAAAGAAAAGAGCAATAGATCAAAAGGGTACATCACCATCTTATACTATATAATAATTAAATTTTACTTAAAGAAGTCAGAAAGTACCCTAAAGTTACACTTAGACTGAGATCTGGTAACACACAAGGTCCAGAAAGAACATGTATGAAGACCAGTGGCAGGAAGAACACTGTATTTGAAGAAACTAAAACAAGAGTTTAAGAAGATGGCAGAAAAGTAGCTGTCTCCTCACCAATTGGTGAAGGAATCAGGGAAATCTACAAAGGAAGAGAAAAACATCCTGGAAGAGAACAGAATCAAATAAGTGTAGTCAAAAGCAATTGACTAACCTCACTAAAGGGTATTGCATACTGAGCCCTCAAAAGGCAGCTTCTCAGTAACACTCCCTACTGCAAAACCCCAAAAGGATAGTCAAACCTACAGGTACACAGGCTACACCACAGCAACAGGAAAAAGATGAAAGTCAAAGACCGCCCAAAGATCCTAAGTCCTCAATTAGGAAACTCAGATACTGATATAAATTAAAAGTCAGAAGAAACTTGGCAACGTTTTCTTGTAAAACTAATGATACAAACCAGGCCCTACAGAAGAGTCAGCAGAGAGAAAAATTGTTAAGAAAGTTAACAATATGGATTTAAAAAATTAGAAATGAAAACCTCAATGAATCAAATAAAATTACAGTAGTGAGTCAGCAAGACGGTATGGCAAGTAAGACACTGCATCTAGGCTTCACAATCCAAGTTCAATCCCTGGACAAAGTAAAGTGAGCAAGAGAGGCTGACAAATGTTGAGACGGCTTCTGGCCTCTCTTCGTGAGCTATGGCAACTGCATGCCCACTCACACTATCAAGTTAAAAAGCTTTTAAAAAAATAAATTAAAAAAAAAAAGGAGGTTGGGTTTTGTTTTGTTTTGAGCTGTGGGGGGCAGACTGGGGAGAGGGCTCAATGGTGAAGAACACTTGCTCTTCCAAGAAAATCTGGGTTCAATTCTCAGCACACACAAGGTGGCTCACAACCATCAGCAATTTCAATTCCAGGGGATCTGATACTTTTGTCTGATCTCCATGGGCACTACTAGGCACGCATGTGGTACACACGCACACATGCAGACAAAACACCCATATGCATATAAATCTAAAGCAAAACAAAACAGTAGGAAGTATCACCAATACTCTACCAAACAAAACAAAGAATATCAGGTATGGAGGACAAAGTGGATGAAATATTGCACTCAAATATCTGTAAGGAAAACAAATGAATAAAAGATCAAGACCATAAACATCCAAGAACTCTAGGATATGGCCAAGAAGTCAAACCTAATCATCCCTGGGATATAGAACACATTCAGATAAGCACTAAAAATACAAGGGATTAATGGATTCAGTGAAATTTAGGAGCAGCAAATTTCACAAATCCAGAAATTTTGAAACACAAAAGGTAATTGGAACCCCAACATGGTCAAGACAATAAAATACAAAGTAAAGTAGCAATAGGTAAGGGGAACATGTCAACTAACCCAAAAAGGCAGAAGCATCAGAGTAATATCTCTCAGCAACCCCAAAGTAGGAGAGCAGCGAATGATATAAATCAAGTTCTGAAAGTAAATAACTGCCAACCATGTTATATCTAGATGTCTTTTAAAACAGCAAATCTGTTTTTTAAACACTGAGAAATAAGAACATTTCAAGACAAGCGTAAACTAAGGCAGTTCACAAGCACCAAACTAGCACTGCAAAAGATATTTAAATACTATATACAAAAAGAAGACAGTCTCAATCACAAGCACCAGGAATAAAAAAAATTTCAGGAAAGGATGAATAAACAAAGAAAAGATAGGAAAGAATTCATATCTAACCTGATAAACCAGCAAACCCTAATCCTAATGGGAAAAACTCAAGAACAATAAAACAGAACAAAACAATGAACAATTAGAATTATAACAATTAGGAAACCTTTCTCAATAATAACCTTAAACATGAATGACCTCAACTCACCCACAGAGATTCATGTGTTACTACCAGAAATGAAGATGGAAGATTTATAAACCATTTAGGAGGGAAAAAGCAAGAGAATGATGAACACAATTTGGTGCCATCAGGCTGCATGATGTATGTTTACTTTTTAAGCTAACTTTAGAAGTTTTTATACAGAGATAATCCCCAACTCTTGATGGCTTGACTTACACTTTTTAAAAGCTTGCAACAGTGAAACACAATACACATTCAGTAGTAACTGTACTTCAAATTTTGATCTTTTCTTAGGGTAGTGATACAGTGTGATGTTGGGCAGTGGTACTTAGTTATGGGTACCAGTCAACCATATGATCATGTGGACAAACAATATCTATCTACAGTGTTTCATTTTTAAATACAGGTCTTCAGTAAATTAAATGAGATACTAAATACTTTCTTTTAAACTGGGTTTCCTGTTAGATCATTTTAGCCTAGCTATAGCTAATTTAAGCTCCATGAGATATTCAAAGTAGGCTAGGCTAAGTGGTCAGGTTCAGTCATATAGGTACAAGTATTCAATGTATCTTTAACTTAATGAAATTTATTTAGATTATGAAGAACCCCTTGTAAGTTGAGGGGCTTCTGTGTATTATCTATATTCTACTAATATATCATAGATCTTTTTGTGCTAGAAAAAAAAACAGCCACCATCACATAAGAACACAACATTGAACTGAATATCCCTGTCATATCTCATTGACTCCTGGGTTATTTAATGGTAAACAGAGGCAGTTTTCACAAAGAAATGTTATATATGTATATACCTCTCTCTCCCCAGAACAATTTTTAAGTACAGAATACCTACCTCTGTTTCCTTTTCTTCAATGATATTTACAAGTCCTAAGAAAATATTTTGAAGTTTGATCAAAAATGGCTCTGGGTAGATTGCCCAATCTTCCCATGCTCTGAAGCAAGTCATTACCCGTTGCTAAATAAACAGAAAACAGACAGTCAATGACAGTTGAGGTAGTATGTCTCAAATGAGGATAACCAATGTGATTTGATGAATTTTCCTTTAAATTGCTAGATCATTTTTCTTCAAATTAAAAAAATAATTATGTATGTCATTTCCAAGCTTTTTAAAGCAACACTATCTTCCAAGAATAAAGACCTAAAAATACTTGGGGGTGGCGGAGGCACCACTTGTCTTTTAATTAAGGCCAACTCTTACATTGTCTGTAGTGAATGTGAGCCACATTCTAAAAAGCAATCTCACAGTGCCTTCTGATAACTAGAAACCAAAGCAATCAAGCTTGACCCTGAATGCATTTGACCCAAAGATATCTTGTTTAACACTTTTCTTTACACATTTCCTATACTTTTCTAAGAAGTATAACTTATAATCAAAATATAAAACAAAAAAAATTTAATGGATCTGTTTGAATATTGTAGTGATTTAAATAGGTAAAGCTCCCATAAGACTCATGTGTTTGAATGCTTGGCACACAGGAAGTGGCATTATGGCCTTTTGGAGAAAGTGTGTCACTATGGGGGCAGGCTTTGAGGCCTTCTATGCTCAAGTTATGTCCAATGTAACACAAAGTCTCCTTCAGCTGCCTGCATATCAAGACACAGAACTCTCAGCTCCTTCTTCAGCTCTTTCTTCTGCCTGCAAGCCACCATGCTTCCAGATGATAATGGACTAAACCTCTGAAACTATAAGCTAGGATGAGTTAAATAATTTCCTTTCTAAGAGTTGCTATGATCATGGTACTTCTTCACAGCAATAAAACCTCAACTAAGACCAATATCTATATAATGGGCTCATGGGACAGCTTCCTATACTAAAGAAATTTCTCAACGAAGTCTACTTCCCACAACAGTATATTCATTTATTCAATTACTACCTTGGGTGGGAGGAGCTTTGACTGGCCTTTTCCTAAGATTGGTCTACAGCTTAAAGTTAAGGCTATTGATTTTTCTTTTAAGAGGTTATTTTAAAAAGAAAAAAAAAAACTGAATAGGTTTTTTTTTTCCTACAAAGCAGCTCATTATAATTATTCCCAGTCTGTCTTAAACATGTACTCATGATTTAAGCAAGAACAGTGTCCAGCACTCCTCATACTCCAAGAAATTTTAAATCTTCCACACAACTTCTGAAGGTCAAATTTCCAGATCATCATCAAGGACATTCTCAAGCCACCTGTGCTTCCACAACTGCACAGCTAATGGTGGTCAGCGTCATGCACCCATCTGCACACTGGGAAACCAGTGGTATCCACTCTATTTCCACCAAGGTCTGCACCCAGACACAGCTGTGAGGAACTGGGTCTCAGATGGCACTCTGCTTTCATAATGACACACTTCACACTAGGGTACAGAGGGGCCTTTCTGATCTGGTGACAATCTGTGGTAGGTGGCCAATAAATCTAATCAGTCTTCTTATTTTCTGGAGGAGGGAATACAGGCCAATGCTTCAGGCCATCCTGAGATTCTGGAAGAAGTGGTTGGCTGCTGCCTTCCATGCTGTTCCAGATCCTCATCCCAGCTATAGCATGGTACCTCAGCAGACACAGGGCCAAGTGGCACCTCCAGGCCCCATGCCACAGTAGGTGAGGCCACATATCACAACCATCTGCTATATTGAAGCTATCAATGCCCTGAAGATACTTTCTACACAACCATGAATAACCAAAATGCATGTTCCTAATCCAGACAATTTATATATACCATTATAAAACACATGGTCTTCTGAATATGTTCTGTGAGGAGGAAAAAAAATCAGTATTAAAAATATTTAAATAAGACTTGAGGACCTGAGTTCAGCTCCCAGCACCTACATCAGTTGGTTCACAATTCCCTGTAACTCTGACTCCAGGGGCTCCTATACCTCTGACCTGGATATGCACCTGCACACATGTACACATATCCACACAAAGACACATATACATAATTAAAACTAATAAATCATTAAAGAAAAATTTAAACTAAGAATATTTAAATAATTAAAATAAAACTAAAAACTGACAATACAATATTTTAAAGAACTTTGAAGCATAATTTCAAAAAGACCAAGTCTTAAATATTATATTTGTCTTACATTCTTTTATAGCCCTCTAATGCCCTCCTCCTCTATAACACACCAGGGCAAAAACAACAAAATATACATACCTTAAAATTTTCAGATTGTAAATGGCCTTGAATTGTACGATAAGTAGCATTGAGGTCTGAAAATATCTGACATAGCTTTGTTTCAAAACTGAAATTCAAACAATACATTCTTTAAAATAGAATTTGTTTAAAAACTCACATTCTCTTCAGCCTGCTAGCCAATGAAAACCTCTCCTGGTCTTAGGGATAAAGCAAATTAAGAAATGTAAAATACCAGTGTCCTTTAGAAAGCAATTTTATATTTAGGATGAATTTAGCCATCTGTCTCTCCTCTTTTGTGTCATATAATAGCAAACTTAAAAGGTAAGTGATGTATAGAAGGAAAAAAAGTATTAGCAGAATTAAAAACTGGGCTCTCTCTTGATCGCATTCTCCTTCTCTCACCTGCACAAGTACTTACAGACACATATGCATATGTACCCAGTATAGGCTAACCTAGGACTTGCTATGTAGCCAAGGATAACCCTGAACTTATCCTCCCACCTCAACATTCCAAGTGCTAGACACATACCACCTCATCTGATTTTATACAGTGCTAAGCAAACCCAAGAGTTTGGGGCACACCAGGCAAGCACTCTACAAACTGCACTCCACCCATCCCTAGGTCATGACTTGTGGTTTCAAAGGATCACCTGGACAGACAACAGAGCAGGGGATAGAAGAGAAACCAGTTAGGTGGGAACACAGGCCAGCAGCCAGGAAAGTGGTGTCAGTCAGCTTCTGGATAGATTATAAAATATGTTTTTATCAATAAATAGTGTTATGGACAAGGTATGGGGTTAAAGAGAAAGAGGGGAGTCTAAGAGACTTCAAAGAGCTAAAGAGACTAAAATGCAAATCAGTCACCAGTTTCTTCCTGACTACACAGCTTAGTTAGGATGACCTTGAGAGCTGTAGATCCTCCTGCCTCTGCCTCTGGACTGCCAGCATCACAGTGTGCACTACTGGTTTTAAGTGGTGCTGGAGATCAAACCCAGGGGTTCTTCATGTCAGGCAAGCACTCAACCCTGAGTTACAATTCCCAGCCTGGGCCACAATTTTGAATTTCCTTTTAGAGTCAATTCCTTTCCCTGAGCCTGACTATTTAATAAACACAAATAAAATGCATGGTGGTTCATATTATAATCTCAGCACCTGGAAGGTTAGGGCAAGAGGATTGCCACAAGTTTAAGGTCAAGTTTTAAACTTAAGTTTAAGGCTACAGAGTAAACTCTAAGCAATCTGGGTGAGAGTGAGTCCCCATTTCATTTAAAAAAAAAAAAATCAAACAAGAGTAAGCCACATGGCTCAGTAGATAAAAACATTGCTGTCAAGGAGGACAACTTGAGTTCAATCCCTGGACCCATGTACGTGGTGGAAGGAGAGAATCAACTCCAAGTTGTTCTCTAACCTCTGCTTATAGGTCATGTTTCATGTTCACACGTACGTAAACACAAATAAATGTCATTAAAAAGAAAAACTGAGGCGGGCGGTGGTGGCGCACGCCTTTAATCCCAGCACTCGGGAGGCAGAGGCAGGCGGATCTCTGTGAGTTCGAGACCAGCCTGGTCTACAGAGCTAGTTCCAGGACAGGCTCCAAAACCACAGAGAAACCCTGACACGAAAAACCAAAAAAAAAAAAAAAAAAAAAAAAAAAAAAAGAAAAAAAAAAGAAAAAAGAAAAACTGAAAAAAGTTTTCAAAACAACTAATTTAGTTTACACTGGTTTATTTCAATAAGCATAAGTCTATTTCTTTAAAAATTCTACTAAATTTCTTTTAAATTGTATTTATTATTATTGCTATTATCATCATCATTATTATTGTGTGAGAGTTGAAATCAGGGTCAGGGGAAAATTGTGGAGTCATTTCTTTCATTCAAGCTTAGTTATCAGGTTTGTATGGCAAGCATCTTTAACCCGCTGAGCCATCTCAATGACCCCTAAAATTAATGAAGAACACTAACAGAACAACCCTCCTTTTTGATCTCCTCATCCTCAAATCCATAATCTCAAGAGTTTCAGTTCGTATCTTATACTTACAATTTCCTATAATATGAAGCATTGGCAACTTTGGCTGAAGAGTTGTACAAAACATCAGAAACCAAATATAACCTGGCAATCTGTAATACAAAATGAGACAAAAGGAAAACATTAGCCAACAGCATATCTAAAAAAAAAAAAAAAAAAAAACCCCTGTACACTCATTCCTTGAAACAGTGACAGAGGCTAAGTTTAGGTATAATTTAATAGTAAATACTAATTATTACTATATGAGATCCATCATTACAAACACAATTTTCGCAGGAATACAACCTATTGATTTACTTACATTTCAACCAGTTTATCAGCCAAAAGAATATATAGAAAATAATTCATCAGTCAAGCTCTTCATGTAAAAATAAGCTTATTCCAAGAAAAAAAAAGCCATTAACTAATGTTCAGAAAGAGAAGCCATTTCAATACCTTCTTGGGAAGAGGTGTCTTTAAGATGGACAACGACTCAGTAATGCAATCCACTATTTCTTCAGCAGCTTCCGCATTATTAAGACAGAAAACCATGGCATCTCCAATATCATTTTTTCTTGGAGTTAATCCTCGCAAGATTTCTTCTAATTTATCCCGCTGTCTGAATATAAGTTTTTCACTTATAATTATTAAACATAACATTCCAAATGTTCCAATAACCAATAACCAGACTAGGTGAAGTCTCTGAGTGTTCCTCTACTACATACCAGTTACCTTGTTCACCTCACAAAAACTAGCTTAAAATTCACTCAGATAAAATGGTTTTAAAGACACCATCACCCATTTACACTTTTTTTTAAAGAACTTATACATAGAGCAGAATATTTTTTCTAAAATTAACAACATATTTTGTGACTTTTTAAAAACTTAAAATATGTAAATTTCAAATTATGGTCATTTAAAGTCTCCAAAAGTATTCTACTCTTACTAGCCCCCATTAAAATAGAAACCGTTCAAGTTCTCCATAGCCTTCCTTTGGAAGAACTATTACTTTAGCACTTCTACAAGGAACTAAGTAGGACTAGCCTTTTCTGTAAGGGAAACAATATTTTAGGTCCTGCAGTCCACATGGTCTCTGAAACACACTTCCTCTACTGCTATTATTCTAAGGCAACCTTACATACATGTAAAGAAACAAGCACCATTGTGTTTCAAAAAAACTTTATTTGGAAGGCAAGATGGCAAAGTAGGTAAAGGCACTTGCCTCCAAGCCTGATAACCTGTTTCATGCCTAGGACCCACAGTGAAAGGAAAGAAGAGTCCTGAAAGTTGTCCCCTATCTAACCTCCACATGCATGCCACAAGTACACACACACACACACACACACACACACACACACACACACACAAATAAGTAAATGTAATAAAAACTTTAACCTTCGTTTACAAAACAAGAAGATAGCTATATTTAGACTAAGGACTAGATCTATAGCTAATATAATGACCATAAACCTAAAGGAACAAATACACTCAACAACTATTAAGACTCCACTGTGAGCAAATACCCTTATTTGTATTAAGTATTAAGTCTTCCACACTGTGCATCAAGTATGTAACATTACACACTAAAATCTTTTAGCCAACGTTTTCCATGAGGGATGAAAAACTTCTAAACACTTAACATGTCTATCTTTTAAAATGTAGTTAACTCCATTATAACAGCTCAGAATGAGCACTAACTTTTTTTGTAAGATTTAATTTTTATCTTATGTGCTTGAGTGTTTTACCTCCATGTATGTATATACACACACAACATGCATATCTGGTCTGTGGAGAGGCCAGAAGAAGACATTTGACCCTAGAACTGAAGATATAGATGGTTGCTGGCCATCATGTAGATGCTGGGATCTGAACCCAGGCCCTTATCAAGAGCAACAAGTGCTCTTTTTAGGTGACCCACCTCTCCCAGTGGACACTAATAATAATGTTTTCCTACCTGCCATCTCAGAACTACTACACACTATTAGTATTTCCATAGTTCTATATAAAACTATAGAAGTAGTAATGCCTGACCCCACTACACAGTCATTTTTCTTCTTTTATGTTGCACTCCGGCAAAAATTCTCTAGTAATTTAGTGTCTAGGTAATTTCTACAAGAACATTAAGTATTGCAATGCTAAAGAAAGACCTCAACTATGTTTAAGAGATGATCACTACTTTCCTAAGGAAGAGGTCAAGGTCAACAGGATACACTCTTATTATTTACCATTGTCTTTCTCCAAGACGTCTAAAATCATAAAACATGTTACTATTTAACACTGGCAAGTGAAAACACCATTTTATCACATGGCTGAAAGAGCTACAGCAAAACAACTAAAGACAGCGACCAATAGAGCAACTTCCCTGAACACAAAGAGAAAAGCTCTTACTCTTCCTTGAGTGCTCCCTTTTTACTAGGTTCCTCCACAAAGGCTTCTGCCTCTTGTTCTTCTGACATCCCATGAAGGTAAGGATTTAATGGTGGTGGCCTCCAAAAAGATCCGTTTTTGAACATACGAAAATCTTCTGTCCGCCATTTAGTTGGAGAATCTCCCTAGTAATTATTAGAAAGCTATTAGACAGCTCTAAAACTCAAAGTTCAAATCAACAAAGTAATTGACCCTACTTACCTGCAGAATAGAATAAAGCTTCCACCTGTAGTAAACATGCGCTGGTGTCTGGTTTTCAAATAAGAACCTAAACAGGACAAACAAAACAATAAACACCATATTCTTTAGGAGGGTGCTATCTACTTTAGTGTCTACATAAAACCAGCTACTTGTAAGCCTGAGAGGGAGGGAGGGAGGGAGGGAGGGAGGGAGGGAGGACAATTATCAATTAAATAAAACAAATGAGAAATATTATTTGCCCTCTTACTTCTAAAGACCAAAAGCAGAGTCCCTGGGGCATGGAGCTAGGGAAGGGGTCCTTTTACCTTCCACAATATTCACCTTCCCCATCCCAGACTGCCTTAGAAACTAATATGAACACTCAGAATGACTGTTTTTATAATTTAAAAAAAAAAATTTTGTTTGGCTGCTTCAGACAGGATCTCTCTATGTAGCCATGGCTGTCCTGGAACTCACTATATATACCAACAAGCTACCCTCCAACTCACAGATATCTGGCTCCCTTTGCCTCCAAAAAGCTAGGATTAAAGGTGTGGACCACCACGCCATAACTGGCATTATTAAACATAGGTCAGAGAATATTCTCAAATACTAGAGAGGTTTTCTCAGCATATAACTTGAAAAGCTTTTACCCTATTTAATATAGTATAAAATCAATGTCTTAAGTCAAGTAATTCAGATGACAAATTTCCTTTCAAACTACTTTGCCCAATTCTAACTTGCTTATGACTCTTTCACTGGAACGCATAATGAAAGCTATTTTCCTCCAAGACAATGCTAAGAGCTAAATTTTTATGGTCTTTAGAATTTTATTCCTGGGGGAAAGACATACACACACACACACACACACTGCTTGTGTGTGTGTATGTATATATGCACATCACAGAACAAAAAGCAGTCAATGGACAATTTTTGGGGATCTGCTCCCTCTTCCTCCCACATGGGTTTTGTATTTTGAACTCAAGCTGCCAGTTTGGCAGCAAAAGCCCTTAACCCAATGAGCTGACTCACTAGCCTATTCTTGGAACCTGGAAATATTTTTAATTTCAAGAAAAAAAGTAACAGAGTTAAAAGGCTTTAAAATATCCATTTGAGGGTTAGCAAAATATAGAATATAGACACAGACTTTAAAAGGAGCTGGGTGTTGATTTTGCCTGTGACTCTCAATACTAAGGTAAGATAAGTACAGGGCAGTCTAGGCTATAGAATGAGATCATCTCACTCTCCCCCTCATCGGCCTCCAAAGTACTCCGAAGTCAGTCCCAAAGGACAAATGAGTTATAATTCTACACCTAAGAGATATGTAGAGTAGTCAAATTCACAGAAATACAAACAACAGTGTTTGTGAGGGGCTGGGAGGCCAGACAGATGGAGAGTTACTCTTTAATGAGTATGGAGTTTCAGTTCTGGAAGGTGAAAAGATGTCTGGAAATGAACGGATAAATGGTAATGCTGTAAAATAATGTGAACGTACTTAACGCCACTTAAAAATAGCTAATGCTAAATTTTGTTAAAGATTTATAACCATAATAAAAGAAGCACACCTGAACATAGGATTGTTGATTTCTCTGTTCATAATCATAGCTTCAAACATTGGCCCTTCACGCACAACAAATTCTATCATTCGGTGTATCAGAGCGAGCAAATTCCTACAACAACAACACAGTTAAAGAAAATGGATTCAGACATACCCCTATATAAAACTACATTTGACCTAAATTACTATAATGGTGCAGTTTAAAAAAAAAAAAAAAACATTCTGCTGACTAACAGAATTTAATACAAAAAAGTAACCTGGAGCACACATTAAAGCCCTTGTGCATTAAGAGGGGATGGGGCAGTGATGGGTAGAGGAATGGGAAGGAAGGAGAGGTGAAGGAGTATGGGAAGCCACAAGACAGCCTTATAGTAATAGACTGAATTTCCTAAATACCACTTAATATTATTTTCAAAATTCAAAAAAATTAAATTATAAATAACAACTAATTGGATGGCTGCAAATATATATAAAATCAGCAAATTACAATTTGCATGTTACAGCCATCTAAAAATGGATACAATATTTTTTAAAAGAAAACAGTCCTAATACAGACACTTCACAATTATATTAAGATGTTGTAACCATAACTTTAACTTATAAAAATGAAAAACTATTTAACAAATTTAAGAACTGATTTAATAAAAGACCCACCCAAATTCCTGTGTTTCTAGTACACACATACCAGATGGAGTTTTTATTAAATCTGACCTCTAATGAGGCAACATCCCTTTGAAGCACATTTCAAAATTAGCTTAGAATTCCTAATGTGTAATTCTGCCTGCACAGAACCAACCAATGAAAAAATTATATTGTAAAGCCATGAGTCCTACCCTTCACAAAACAAGGGACATGGTGAGATGCCTACTTCTGAAATGCTTTTTCCAAAAGGATATGAGCTACTGTTTAAGTCACTTTATTGGTTGCACTCATAGGAAGAATTTTTATTTTTTAAATCTGAAAATAAAATCTTTAATAAAAGATTCCAAACTAATTTCAGACCAACTACTATGTCAGCAGAAACGACTCTGCTTTCGTATCCATAAGCTGCTCTTGACCTCCTTGTCACCAGTCCCTAAGTACAAAGTTGGCAAGTACAACTGGGAAGAGCAAAAGGATATTGGGTCTTGGTATAAGACACACATAAATTACATTTTGGGCATTCTTGGCTCAAATCCATGTAAAACTGCTAGAATATAAATACTGTTATAGAAGACAGATTTTTTTCAAGGGGCTCTAATACTTCGCTTCAAAGCACCTGACAGTGAAATAATCTTTTATACTGACTATATTTTCTACAGTTTTCAAACAAGCCTACTCAAATGGACACCAATATTTTTATATAGTAAAAAAAATAATTCTAAAGGTCAAAAAATTATATGGAGGTTTAAATCTTTACAAAGGGGAAACTATTCATTTAGAACTATCAATTCAACTTCAAACTATTTTAAAAAATCGTAATTTTAACTTAAAAATTCTCCTTCACGAAAGTATTAACTGCTGTGTGGACATGCAGTACTGCTCCCAACTGAGAAGGAACTCAGCACCCACGCAAGTCTCTGGCACTGTTTAGAAAGGGGCCATGCAGATATTCCTAGTTCTAAAATCCCCGCTGCTATAAGGCAAATGAAAACTCAGGGAAGTTTCAAGTGCAAATCATAATACATGACCAATTTAGCATGTGGATAAACATTATAGACCCAGAGACGTCTATAAATGCAGTCAAAAACAACTTGACTTCAGCAGTTTAAGGAACATGAAAAATGGTTTATCAAGTTTAAAACCAAATGATTCATTCTAATGGTAAGTCAAGACTTTTCAGCAAAATATATACACAAAATTTGCTTAAAATAAGCTGAGTCACACATAAAATTACTGGATATATTTTTGAATGCTAAAAAATTACTTTCCCTGTGAACATTTTAACAGTGGAAAAATAACCCACTGTAGTTTTAAACAGGCTTGTAACTGATAAAAATCTATCTTTATAAAATTACAAGTTAAAGAAAATTAAAATATTTCATAACTATTTAAAATCAAAATCTGACAATTAGTTGTTGCTGTCTTGGAATCAAGAGCAAAACGTAATCATACTCTTCCCTTAAGGATTATGTAATTTTTTTATTTGAAAAATGACTTTTTTTAAAAAACAAAACAGTGTAGTACAAAAATGTTATATTTTAAAGTGCATTATTTTATTTTTAAACAGCAATTATCTTATTCTGAGCAACCACAACAAAAAAAAAAGTCTCTCAGTTATAGTAAAACCACAGTTATCGGAGTCGATCGTACCAATGTCTGGTCAAAAACTGTATACTTTCCCAATCCATCCCATGATGTTTTCCTGGTCCCCCGCTGCCGCAGACAGTTCAGCTGGTGTTGCTCACCAAGGCCAATGTCAAAGAGAATTTGGAATTCTTTTGTGTTCATTTATTATTCAACCAGTGTTGTGTTCCTGTGTTTGGGAAAAGGCTGAGCTTGACTGAGCAAGAGCATACCTACAGCATGATTGTTCTTCATTAGCAATGTATTAAAAAAAGAAAAAAGGGGAAGAAAAAGATCCAAACACCTTTGTTGTCATGACTAAAAAAATCCTAATATGTCTAGTGTCCATGAAGACAACTGGAATTTCTTCTCAAATCAATTACAAAAAAAAAAAAAAAAAAAAAAAAAAACAACTGCACCTCCTATAAGATCTAAAGCTAAGACTGTATATTAAATGCAGATAATTCAGAAACCAAGAGAAAAGTAATGGATTGGTTCAAATTGTAACAATATCTAAAATTTAAGACACATTTTATTTAAAATGCCTATTTTTCCCTTCACAATAGTTTTAAATTACCAGACCAACAATTCCACATTAATCTATTTAAACATTCTAACTTCTAAAGCTATTTAGCTCTCTAAAGTGGTAACAATAAAAACAAAAGAAAAGATGACATAAAATTGCAAAGTGTAGTAACTAGACTCATTTAATTTATACGCATCCCCCAAAAGCACTGGGAAGGAACCATTGCTCAGTCAAGACAATACCTTTTCCTCAACACCATTTCTTTTCAATTCAGAAGGGGATATTGTCTATATTTAGATCAGTAATAATAAAGAAAAACATGTACCTTTCTGTTGGGATAACCACTTTGACTATGGCTTGCGACAGAGTCTGTATATGAAGTCACATCAGATAATAAACATAGAATATGTGAGTATTGTTAACAAGTAACAAGCAAAAATATACATAATGCATTGAAAACACTACACATCTAATCACAAGTTCTGCAGGCTATCACTGCATCGGAAGTAATTATACACTAGGCAATTACATAAATGCAAATGGATGTGTTCACAGTGAACAATTAATGTTCACCAAACGCAAAGAATCAGAACATTCCTGCCAGAATGCACATCAATGCACTGAATAGGTACTACACTGAGAATTATCAGATAAAGATTTTAATATGTGAAATAATTAACTGTTTGCCTCTGACCATACAGTTTGCTACTTTGTTCCCAAGCCTTTAAAACCAGCCCTGTGATTTCAAGTGGAATTAACTCATAACAGAACCAACAAATTCTTACAACTTGAAATTAAGTTGGTTTTATGTTTAATAAAGAAAAATACTCACCCTTTGCTTTTACTAGATTAACTATTTCTGAAATACCATATACACTGTTATATAGTCTACTACCTCAAAAACTTGAAAGCTAAGTTAGTTTGCTGCCATCTAAGCAATTTAACTATTTAGGTGTTTTTTTCTTCTAATTAAAAAAATCTCTTAACCAAATAAAAACTAGAATGTTCTTAGAACAAAGAAAATTCAAACACTGAATTCAACCAAACCTGAATACAACACTGGATTGGGGAGGGGCTTACTGAGTGGTCAAAAGGGAATGGTAGCCACAAATAAAAATATGACCTAATGATTCAATATAGGGTTTCCATGGACTAAGGCAGGGAACATATCTACTTATTTCTTTATGAGTTGCCAGAGTAACACACATAATTCTATAAAATTGTTGAAAAGAAATACTACCACAGATTTAGTATTTACATATTAGATGCAGCTCTATGTACATTTTTAAATTACCTTCTCGAAATCCTCCTTGTTTTTAGGTGGTGGTAACATGGGCGCATTGGGGTTTTTTAATCGCTCTCTAGGCTGCGCATTAAAAGGCAGTCCGGAAGGAGGTGGGGGAAGTGTGTGTTCCATCATAGAAGGCGGAATGTATATTGGATGCGGAGGAATAGGTACAGCTTTACCCCAACCTAACTTCATTTCAAAAGACATAATCATTTTCCCTACAAAAGAAAAAAGTTACTTTAACAAAACTCCAGAAAAGAAAGCATTTCTGGTAACTTAAATTTCCTTAATAGGCTTTCAAATTTGATATAAATTCGAAGTACAATTTTTGTGAATAATCTACACCAAAGAAATATCTAAATTCTATAGATGGACCACAGAACTTTACCATTTAAATTTTTTAGAGCTCTTTCAGCATCTCTTCTATTCATAAAAGCCACAAAGCCACAATTTCTTTCTCTTGCTCTTTCTTCATCAGTTCTAGGCCACATAATTTTTACACTAGCTAATGGTCCAAATCTTCCAAACTCTTGGCACAGCATTTCTTCATTCATCTATTAAAAGATGAGAGCGTTTGGTTATGTAACACAAAGGAAGGGAGGGGCAAAAATTCTATGCAGTTCAGAAAGCAAAATCATTTTTACAAAGTAAAAGGCAACATATTAATGCTACAGTATTACATTTAAATTCTAGAAACTCAAAACAGGTGAAACCCTGTCCTAGCACAGCATCTGCATTATTTTCATATTAGAAGTCTTCTATTTTATTTAAATAAGTAGCTAGGGTTTAGGGTGTTAGAGCTACTAAAACCAAAGTCATGTCTGAATTCTCTTCTTGTTTGAAGATCTTGGAATCTACAAATCTATTTGGCAGCAGTTTATATCTATAAATTGAGCAGCATTTCAAGCAAGAGTGGGGAGTGCACCTGTCGATAATGGAAGGAAAACCAGAGTGCACAGCTTTCCTGTCTCTAGTACCAATCTACCAGGGTGATCAAGAAGAGAATCAGAAAACATACACAGCAGGGTCAAAAGTATAATTTTTTTTCAACAAAAATATTTCATCTAACCTACCATATTCCCCAAAACATACTAACCAAACTGAAGCAGAGAAATTAAAACAACGAAGCCAGTGTGGTATCATGCTGCAGAGGGGAGGTGGGAAACAGGAAGAGCCCAAGCTCCAGTTAAAGCAGGAAAGGGAAAAGCACAAGGAGGAAAAGAAATGCAACTCCATAAGAAAGCAATCTGTACATCCGAAATGGCCCTCAAAGAACACTGTCTAGTTACTAAAAGGGAAGACATGTCTTCAAGAATGTACAGGAAACAATTTGGATCTAACCAGTAAGTCCCAAGTTTACAAAACAATTATTAAATAATTCCATCAGCTTTGTCAGCTTCACAACCTAAATTTTAGTTTCCTAACTAACAATAAAAATAAACATAAGCCAACACTGGCTTTATTTTACTTATTTTACCTGTGGATTAATGTTTCCAAGGTATAAATTAGTCGTACTGGGATCTCCTACATCATGTGAGCCAGGTGCATAATCATCAAGAACTAAAACAAGGGAGAAAAAAAAATTATACCCTGTGAAATACAAAGCTGAAACCATCTCTATTAAGTAAAAAAGCAAAAAACTGTATTACCACCAGATGATCGATTTCTTCTTGAAGGCACATCCACTGAAAGAAAAAAAAAAAAAACACAACTCTTAGGTTTTAAGATAATAAATCATAAATATGTATATTAAAATAAACATCACTTACTAGAACGCCGCTGACCATCAGAATCTGACTGAGGAGGCTCAAATCGACTTAACCTGCCCTTTGTTTTATGTCTCTCATCACGTTCTTCCTGAATTCTGTTGAAAATATTTACAGTCAACTTAGAGTAAGCCACATTCATATTTGGTAACAGAGCTTCTCTAAGTAACATCTTCAAATAATTGAATGTATTTGCATTACCAGTAATTATAACCAAGACTAGTGAGCCCATCAAATTGCAAGACAGGAACAAGTACATATCTACAAGTCCACACTGAACAATAATGCCTCTTTTGGGGTAAAAAGAAAATTCAACATGAAACTACTGCTTACAGTTTTGCTCTTAATAGATTTGATGACCTCTACCCTAGTGAATAACTAGGATTCCAGATAAGAAATAAACCAACTGCATTAAATCTACACATTACAAGCAGCAATGGACACTGACCAAATGCTAGTTGACTCTCAAGCACATGTTATCTATTGTTGCTAGAGTAAGTTCACTTGCAAGCCAGCTGATAATAACTAGTATACATACCGACATCTCGAATTATCAGTCCAGTATGGCTATCATAGAGAATTCTCCATATAAAACTTACTGTTTTAGTTCTTCTTTGAAAAGTTCCAAATTGCTTTTTTTCTTTTCTTTCTCCCCTTTCTTCAGTGGCTATGAAGAATATATGATTTGAAACAAAGAAGATTAAACAAATTTATGGTTTCTTTTGGCAGTGATAAAAATCTTCTAGAATTGCAAAAAAGCAATTTTTGAAAAATTGTGAATATACTAAGAGTCCACCTAATTACATAAATTTGAAGCAAATTTTAAGGCGTGTGAATTACATAGCAATAAAGCTGTTACATTTTAATTGCTTCCAGTGCTATCTTAACAACCACTCAAGAAAAAAAAATCAATTACATCACTATTTAATCTATCATATTTAATTAACTAAATGTGGCTCCAAGTGACTTGATCCACATATTGTCCTCTGTAAAACTCCTATTTCCAATGAATAAAAAACTCTATAATGAGAAATTAAAAGATATATCAGCTCTGATAGTAATCCCCAAGAAGTTCTAAAATCATCCTAATAAACATGTACATGTTGCTAATAATTTTTAGGTTTTTACTTCAGAACTGTTTAAAAGAATATTACCCTACATTTACAACAAAATTTTTGACTTGCAATATATGAATACAGTATCAAATGTTCAACGAGGACTATTGCCACGTCCTAACCTAATCTACCACTCTCACCTCCATGAGTTACGAGTTAGACAACATCAAAACTCAACACCTACTCCAAGACTTATTATAAACCATAAAAAATTTTCTTGCAGAGAATGCACTCAAAATACTAATGACAATGCCAGCTTCTAAAATGAATGCTCAATTATTAATAATTACTTACAGGTTTTTTCGTTTCAATCACAAGAAGAGAAGGTGGCCTTTCATTGGATGACTGATTTGGAGGATTTTTTTGATCTGCAAATCTTGAAGATGGCTTATAGATTTTACCTCTTTTTTCATCTGTTTCATGTTCATCTGAAATTTAAAATGCTAAGTTGTAAAACTAATTTCATATAATTTTTGTTTTTGCTATTTTTATTTAAGAAGCAAATTAAGATGTTTTTACTATTAAGATTTGAATGTGAAATTAAATTTACATTATTACCATTCTACCAGCCAGTTTAATCCTTTATAGCAAAACTATGAAAGATTAAATTTTCTGCAATATAATCTGCTTTTTTTTAAAGTTTAGCACTAAGTTTTTTTATTAACTGCTTCATAAAGTTCTGTTAATCACATTCAGTATCTCTTCATTATTCCATATTTCGGGATTTATTTTGCCTTAATTTAACCACCAGAGGGTGCTAATAGAAAAAGAAATGTGAAACTCAAGTCTTCCATAACTAATGTGTTGCTGTGCCATCCAAGCTTTGTTCAGTCTAGATCTCTGGACTCACCTTTAGCTGCATTAACAACCCCGCCTCGAACAAATGTTTTCACTTTATTACCATCACTTCCTTCAAAAGCAGCAAGAAATTCCTCATAAATTTCAGCAGCTGCCTTTTCATCCTCCTAAATATATAACCAGATATTAGTGACATAAAAATTGCTGTGTGGATGTGACTTGTTTTTTGGTTTTGGTTTGAGACACGATTTCACTATGTAGCCCAGGCAGACCTGAACTCAATATGCAGACCAGACTAGTCTGGAACAGAGATCTGCCGCTTTTACCTACCAAATGCTAGGATAAAAGACAAATGCCACTATGTAGAAAAGAGCTCAGCAAAGAGCAATGGCTCTTCTTCCTGAGGACCTAGGTTCCAATACCCACATGACAGCTCACAACCATCTATAACTCCAGTCCTCGGGAATCAACTCCCTCTTCTCAAGTCTATGGGACCAGACACACAAAGGGCACAAAAATAAAAAATATACAAGCAGGAAAAACACCCATACACATAAAAGAGAAAAACGAAATTACATACTCAAAGCCTCTTCTTTCCCAAATAATTCTAATATCTACAACTTGGTAGACTTTGGATATTACCAAAAATTATATGCTAAATATTTAAAATATAAGGCTTTGCTCCTTTACTTGAAATTTAGAGAAGCAGAAAGTAACTCACCTCATATGGGTAAACAAGTAAATGTATTTAAAGACAGTTCAAGAGTCAAACTGTAAGAGAAATAACTAAATAAAAACATTAACCTATTACTATTTAAGAAGTCCTCCAAAGTATGATGACTTAATTCATCAAAAATAAAAATTTCATTCTCAAATAACCAAAGATCAATAGAAGCAAAGACACAGTGCTTATTTCTAACCTGGCATTAAAGAAAAAAATAGAAGAACTAACCTTCTCAGCTATACATCATCTAAAGGTTATATA